TGTGAGGAAAAAGTGGGACTCGGCTTGCGGCAGGAAAGGTGACAGGATCAAGGGCAGTAGGACCCAGGGGAAGCCCTGGAGGGCTCCTTCAGCAGCAGGGCCCTTCTGGCCCTGCCCCCTCCCCCCAGCAGGGCTTCTGGCCTGGGAGCAGGTGGCTACCCCAGTGCAGGAAGCTCAAGTAAGGAGGTGCGGGGGGGAAGGGCAGGGGATGAGCTGATGCAGAGTGTGGGGAAAAGCGACCCCTCCCCCATCCCATGCCCAGAGCTCCCTGCTGCAGCTGCTCACAGCCGGTGTGGGGCTGTCCTGAGCAACTCCTGTCCCAGCACATGGGGCTCTAGCTCCTGGTTGACCTTCCACCCAATCTGCCTGGCACAATGAGCAGCCACCTGTGGGTGGCCGAGTGGAAGGCAGCCATGCCAGAAAATTGCATGCTGGCGGGAGCTGGGGGTGGGGAGGGGGTTGTTAGTGGGTGTGGACTTCCTTGGGTGGGGCTTGGTCCCATGTGGTATGCTGCAGGGACAGCCGTGGGCCAGATGCCGTCAGTTGGCAGACCAACCCATGGGTCATATTTTTGCTCGCCCCTGGTATAATGCTTCAGCAGTCTGAGTTCTGTTCTCATTTAGTTGAAGGGCTTGTCAAATAGTTGGTCTGCAGGTTTTCAGAAGGTTATGCACCAGTCTGCTCCAGTGCATTGTTGGTGATTTTTAATTAACCCAGGGTGTTAATACATGCCTACTTGCTGCTTTCTTACAGGTAAATTCTACCATCCCAATAACTTCTGAAATCTTTAAAAAGCATGGAGTCTATAATCCCAACAAAATTTTTGGTGTTACCACGCTGGATATTGTCAGAGCGAATACTTTTGTGGCTGAACTAAAGGTCGGTGGCAGTCTTTCCTTTTTTTAGATGTCTCCCATTCTGTTTCTTTATCACTTGCCCTAGACGTGTTCCTTTTAAATCAAGAGCAGACAGAACCAAATGGCTTCAGACTTCCTTGGAAGTGGATATCAGAGATGCACCTCAGTGTTTCCAGAGTCTGGATGAGGATTGGGTTTCTATCTGGCAAAATGCAATTCTACTTGAGATGTTGACCTTTTCATGGTTCTTCCCTGAGAGTCTGAACTACCTAGCAGCTGTGGCATTTTCACCCACTCTAGTTCTGAAGTCTGTAGTTGTAGAGGACTGAGCCAAATTCTCCCAGGCCTTGCCAAGCTATGTTCAGAGAAGAAAATATTGTTTGGAAAATGAAACTTCTTGATCTGCAAACCCCCAGTTTGTATTAATTCTGTACAGTACAGAATGACTGTAAGGTCATTGCAATAAGTACAGAACTTCACAATGTGGCTTTGATTCACCTTTCAGAATCTGACTATACTTAACATCTGAAAATCTGTTCTATGTAGTGTCAAGTGTGTTCCAAGTGTCTGAGGTAAAAAACAAAAGGTCATGGTGCATTTAAAATGTTGTTATTGTGCCCTTTGTTTAGATGCTTGTAAAACTTGCTAAAGTTATGAACCTTTGCAGGGTTTAGATCCAGCTCGAGTGAATGTTCCAGTTGTTGGTGGTCATGCGGGGAAGACCATCATCCCTCTGATATCTCAGGTACATTTTCCAGTAATTATACAGGGGTGGGCAGTGTTGTTTTGTTTCCTGGCCTCATTCAGTATTGCACTAGCATTAATTAATGCTGATGTTCGTGATCTTTGAAGTACCAAGGTGCAATGGAAGGAATCTCTTTGCAATTACTTATACAAGCTTGCTCATAAGGCAGCACATTGAAAGTGTGCAGAATGAGTTTCTAATCGTACAAATTTAAACAAAGTCCACCTGGAGTTTTTAAAGCATCATATATTTACATGCTGCACTTCAGAGGCTTATTTTCTTCTCCTCTAAGGAACTTTACTGTCAGATAAAGTATGGTGTGCATCCTTGAGGAAAAGAGCTGGTAACAATCATTAAGACTTGAATTTCTGTGGCTGTTCTATTATATGAATTGGGCCACTGTTTTCATCACCTGAGGAATTGTTGTATTACCTCTGATTCATGGGAAAAATAAAGTACAGAGGTGAAGTGAATTGCCTAATGGATGTATGGGGAAATCTCATGGCAGAACTGAGATGTAGACTTGTACCTGACTACTTGTCCTGTACCTAGACCAGTTGGCTATGAGCAATGGAAAAGAAGTATCCTGAATGCTGGCTGTTTCCTGCTTAGGAGTCAGTGTCAGTGCTAAAACAGACATAAGGGAATAGTGAGGTGTGAGGAAAGGAGATTAAAAAAAAAAAGAGAGAGAGAGAGCGTAGAGCTACTAAAGGAGGGGGACCTCAGGCAGAATAGCAACTAGTGAAGGGAAGATGTTCCCAGGATGATGGGAGCAGTTTGCTTTGGTAGTGTGGCTAACAGGAGTGTTGACAGCTGGTTGCAGTCTAACTGTATTAGCTGGTCCTGGATAAATTCAGTAGAATAGACAGCATGTATTTTAAGGTGGCCAAATCCTTTTATATACTGGTTGTAGAGACGTAAGCCAAGCTTCATGTATGCCATTAGGGAGTTATGGTAACAATTACTGTATAACCAATGTTCTAGTCCTAGCTTTGTCCTAAAGTTGCAGTTTACCTTGAGCAAATTGTTATGGCTTGACCCAGTTTTTGCTGTAGTTTAATTAGGCCTTCCCCACCCCATTTGTAGAATGTGTCTCTACTGTCATGGGCATAAGAGGATTTGTTTGTGAAGCACATTGATCTCCCTGATGAAAACTTGCTCTTGAAATACAAAAATGAATGAGCTTGAATGTCTTGTCTCTAAATCTTTACAGTGAAGGTAAAGATAGATCCTCAGGACAGTAACTGATCTTCCCTTTCAGTGTACCCCAAAAGTGGAGTTTCCTCAAAATCAGCTGGAAACACTTATAGGAAGAATTCAGGAGGCTGGCACCGAAGTTGTCAAAGCGAAAGCAGGAGCAGGTTGGTTCTGGACTATGGCTTTTAAATCTTAGCTCTCTTGCATCAGTTCTGAATACAAGCAGCTTTCTTACAGGTGAGGATAGACTGAACCTAGTAATGGACTGTGGTGAATCAGTGCATGTTACAGCTTTCTGCATTGTTGGTTAGTATTAGGGGTATGTGAAACAGGATATATTTGGTTCGGATTCAGCCCGATTTGGGGGACAGTGATTCAATTTAATTGATTCGGATCACTGTCCCGATTCAATTCAGCTGAATCTGAAGATGCAATAGTGATTCAGAGAATCGGAGATTCGGCCATAGACACAGCTTTATACAGGCTTTTTTTTTTTCTACATACCTCAAGGTACCAGGCGAGGCTTGTGAACACTGAGATGGTGGGGTGGATGGAGCATCCCACAGGAGCCAGGGTGGGAGTCACCCACACGCTCGGCAGCAACCCTGAAAGTGGGCCAGAAGTGCTTCTGGTCCACTTCTGGGTCCACCACTAAGTATGCTGGGACCCTCACCATGCTCCTGTGGGATACTCCATCCACCCCACCATCTGTGTTCACAAGCTATCTGGTACCTTGCATATGTAGAAAAAACATATACAGTTGTTTCTCTGAATTGTTGAATCTCTCTGAATTGATTTGGAGGGTTCTGTTTTGATTCAGAGAGATTAAAGGGTCTCCTGATTCTATTTGGATTTGGAGATACAGCCGCCGAGTCGGGCCGCATCTCCACCAAATCAAATCAGTGACCAGAGCTTCGCACAGTCCTAGTTAGTACTACCAACAGCCAAGACTTGTGTACCTTGGTGAAAAGTAATACTATAAGAATTAATCTCTTCCATAAAAATTAAAAGTAACTCACCGCATAAGAGTAATATAACAGTTGGTGGTTAATTTATATATAGTCAAACACATCTGTTGACTGGGTATGACACTGGCCAAAAGCTACTACTTAATGTTAAGTTAAAGGTAATTTGTGCTGTTTCACTTGGACTTCATTCAGTGCTTATGGATTGACCTGTTAAATATGGACAGTAAAGCACAGTTTCAATTGTTCTTTACTGCTTTTTTTCTTTTAATCTTGCTTGTGTTCCAACACAAAAGGAAGAAAGTGCTATAGCAAGCTAAAGAAAAAGATCTGGAAAATTTCACACGAAGGAAGATGCATATATTCAAATCTTTTGGTTACATTGGCTTTAGAGCTTACAGCAGCCATATAGTTAAAAGTCTGGCAGTGGGTTCAAATGGCTGATAGTAGATTCTATCCTACTCTCATACTGATCTCTTACTGGGTCAGAAGTTTAAATTGCAGGTGCCCATGTCTAAGGTGTGATGTCTATGTTCTGGTCTCTTAATTGTACAGGATCTGCTACCTTGTCTATGGCGTATGCTGGTGCTCGGTTTGTCTTCTCCATCTTGGATGCAATGAATGGCAAGGAAGGGGTTATTGAATGTTCCTTTGTTAGATCAGAAGAGACAGAATGTCCATACTTCTCCACACCTCTACTGCTTGGGGTAGGTATTTTGGATGGTGGCACATGTTGAGCCCAGTATTCTGTAAGAGTACGCTGAATTTTAATCTTGCAATGCTTCAAATACATCTTGTCTGGACCATACCATCATTATTCTAAACCACTAGTGCTCTATCTCCAGCCTGTAAGGCCATTTTATCTGCCTTGTGGGGCTTCCCATGGTCCTGGAAATTTGGCTGTGGGAGAATGGTGGTAGCATTAATTGCTGCAGGTTCCCAAGCTTACGGTGCTTCCCTGCCACCAAATTTGTAGACCATGGAGAGCCCATGGCTGGATGATGCTGTGCCTTGCATCAGATTGCTTGGGCAAGTGGGGTTGCTTTGCATGCAGAATCAGCATGCAGGCTAGCCCAGCTTGCCAGGTCATAACCAATGATCAGACCTGCCACACATCCAGCCTGTGGTGCTGGATGATTGAGCACTAGCGTTCTAAACCAGGGTTGCTTAACCCCAGGCCAAAGCCATTTAATCCATCTGGTGCGTTTTCCCCACAATTTTGGAAGTTTGGTGGCAGGAGATCAGTTGCAGTGTTAATTACCACCACTCTCTTGCTGTCAAATTTCTATCCCCATGTAACTGGATCAGCTCCAGTTGGGCTGGCCCCAGGAAGAGGGATCCAACCCTGTTTCTGCATGGCTACAGCCCAGCCTGCAGGCTGAAAATGTCGGGCACCGCTGTTCTGAACAGGTGTAGAGTACTTGGTTCAGGCTGTCGATTCCTTTCTGAATTCTTAGAGGTGTGTGTAACCAGAACTTTCCCAGTTTTAAGAATTATGGAGCACTTAGCCCCTTCCTGTCTCCCTGCCTGCCCACACGCTTCCCCACCTCTGTATCTTTCAAGTTTCTTACTTTAGAGCTAAATGAGGTGTTGACTATTTTGGTAACTTATTTATTCAGGCAAGCACAAATTTCATGTCTCAGTTGCTTCTTTGCATACTTCATTTGAGCTAACTACATTTGAGATTTACTACTAATAATTGATGGTTTTTATGTGGAAGTCCTGTTGAGGATTTCGAGGTTTATTGGCTTCTATAAATTGTAGTTTAGTTAATGTAGACCCTAGATGAAGAGTGCTTTGTCCACAATGTGAGGTTATGTTGTGGTATTAAGCAATAATTTGGTAACTAAGAATAGACTGTAATAAAGACTCTTTAAATGTGACAGTTGAAAATATTGTGGTCCTGGAGGGGGGCTCCTCTCTGCTCTCATCCTTTGCTTGAATCCTTTTTAAGCTAAGAAACGTGATGTATGGTAGGTGATCAGGTGCAGGATGTTTGGTTCATGGACTCTGACATAAAAAGGATTGCTTTTTGCAACACATCTACATCATGGAAAGCTGATGATGGGTGTTAGCAAGCGAGTCATTTTCTATGGTGTAAGCTTCAGGTTCGTTGATATGCCTTAAAGAAGGCAGCTGCAGCAATCAAAATAGGAAGCAATGGAAGCCTAAAGAAAGAGCAGTGCTCAACTTAACTCTCCTAAGGACGAGTTGGTTCTAGAATAGAGAGAATGCACTTCTCCACGACCCCTTCATGGCTCAGGTGTGAAAAATCCAGATGGATATTGAAATGTAGTTCCCATTTTTAACACCCTCTTGGTGGGAGGCTCTTGGATGAGACTTCCATGGGGTTTGAAATTTGCAGTTTGGGACCAAGGGTGGCATTTTTTGGTGTTTTAAAGACAGTCTGTTGGAGCTCTTAAAATAGTTATGTCCCTAATTCAGTGAATGTATAACCTGAAAATCGCTTTTTCTTCAGAAAAATGGAATTGAGAAGAATATGGGCATTGCAAAGATCACTCCTTTTGAAGAAAAGATGGTAGCTGAGGCCATTTCTGAGCTGAAAGCTTCTATCAAGAAAGGAGAAGAGTTTGTGAAGAACATGAAGTGATGAGTTGATAGGGAAGAGGAATTGAGGTTTCCTTAAATTATTATGGCATCATGTCACTTTAAAAGACTGCAAAGCCCAAACCTCGATCGAAGTCACTGAATTAGCATATTCTTTCGATCTGTTGATTTGGAATGTTAATCATCAATAAAACAACCTCGTATTTTTTTCATGGTACTCACTCTAATAGTCTCACCATGCTTTATTTCTTGTTAAACCTGGAAATAAAAAGATGAGGAGATGCCCCAGTTCTTAAAGGATACTGCCAGCTCTTACCAGTTCTATAAAACTCAGTCCTGTTTGGATTTCTCCTACTGTTTATGTTACTAATGTTCATGATCAGACGTGAAATTAGTTCTTCCTTTTTAAATTTTTCTGATCTCAGAATTGTGCTTGTAGATTTCCTTGTTCAAGGTTAGCACTGCCCGTACCTGTTTGGGAGTTCGAGGGAGTTGTTTCTTTATGATGGGTTCAAATGTTGTCATGGTAATTGGATCAGCTTTAAAAATGACCTGGAACAGGAAGTTGCAGAACACAGAATCACCCACAGACTGGATTGTGTTTTAAGTATGGTCTAAACCAAGACTATGGATTCTTATCCCATTGCCTAAATTAGCTTCTGTAAGTCCTATATCCCTCAGAGGGGTTAACTGCTTTGCTTTTCTTTGTCCTACCCAGCTTGCCCCTCCCAGCAGTGGTCTTCTCCTTTTTCTTCCCCTTCCCTACACTTCGTATTCCAATTGCTGCTTTCTATTTAATAGCTCTGCTTCCTGCAGTCCCTTCATTGCCTGTGATGAAGCAAGTTGCTGCTTACAAAAGTTTATGCATCTGACCTTGTCAGTCTATAAGGTGCAAATCTATCTTGCCTTCTGCCTGACTTCAGGCTAACATGGCTAACTACTTCAAACTGTATCAGAGTAGTACTGAAGGCTCAGATTAAGTGTAGCTTTCACCTGCATAGCGAAACATGAGTCACTGCACATTATGCTTGATGCCAAGTAAGAAGTAATTTCGTTCTATGTTGACTTTTCTCAGCCTGGGGAGGGTTGCTATGGCTCTAATAACTTGGTGGTAGTATTGGAAGGTTTGTTGAAAAATAACTCAACTGGGGAATTGGAGTGTTCATAGCGTTCAACTACAATGCAGTGTTCGTAGCACTCTCCCGAACTTCCTCTTGGTGGCTGCTTTTGTGTTCCCTAGGCTTGGTAAAACAAAGTGGGCCTCATTCTCAGATAATCCTGTAGTCCAGGGTCATCTGACTGGTGGCCTGTGATGAGTTAAATTGTGCTTCTCTCCCCTAGGCCCCTTTCCCCGTCATCACTATGGCTGCAACATCAACCAGTCTCTGGGTTCCTCCCCTCCAGGTTTTGCTGTCTGCCCCTTCCCCATGAAGTAGGGCACTGCAGCATGGTAAGCCTGGGTCTTCATGAGCACATAGTGCAGTTTGGGGGGTGGGAGGGGAAGAAGGGGTTGCTGTGGGGTGTGTAGCCCCTGCTGGTACAGTCTATAAGATGTTTGGCCCCCCAGCTGCTTAGAAATTGGACAGCTTTTGGCTGAATTAGCTTCTGTTTGGCTATTTCCAGCACATTATGGTCATGTTGGTGTTGAAGTTTCCAAATACCTGATAGTTACCTTGATGACCAGGTCTGGGATGTCACTAAGGACCCCAGGCTACAAGAAACTAAAATAATGATTATAATGGTACTACCCTTGTCTTATGCTGCCTGCACAGGGCTCAGAAATGAGTTGTAACTTTTATTTCTTGCATTTAAAAAACACTGAATTCTGAGTCTTGTTTCTCAATCTGTAATGCAGGTTCAGATGATAGATACTGCTTGTATTATAGCACTGTCAAACAACTCACAACACTTACTACCACTTTATTGTGTTAAGTACTGTGCAGACTGGGAATAAGGGAGAAACTGTCCATGGTGCTTGCAAGGTAAATTTAACTGAACTACAGTAACTTTTTTCAGAAGTCGAGCTTCACAAGCTGTCAGCTGTTGAGACCTCTCACCTTGACCAGTCTAGTGGTCCCTGGAGGTCAATTCTAAAAGTACATAGCTGTTTCTTTCTGCCATTTTTTTTGGGGGGGGGGCGGAAGTGAGGGGGCCAATACTGACAGACTAGTTTTAGCGAGCCTTATCAGCCGATCCCAATCCAATTCCAATATGCAGCCTAGCAGCATGGAGAGTGGCGTCCAGCTGATATGTCTGTTGTGGGCAGACAGGCTTTGGGGGGGCTGATTTAAGGCCCCTGTGGTGAGGGAGGGAGTGGGGCAGTTGCTGCACAGCTGGGGCAAGGGTGGGCTGCTGCAGGGGCTGGGGAAGCATCCGGCTCTTGTTGGGAGGGCGGGTTGGGCTGTGCTGTGGGTGGGCAGCGGCTGTGCTGGGACCCCCGCTCCCCCTGCCCTCACTGCTGGTGCCTTCATCTGTCCCCACCTCTCCTCCGCACCCCTTCCCTCACAACAGACTTACCAGCCGGACCCTGCTATTCTCCACACTGCCAGGCTGCACACATGCACTGGCATTTATCGGCTACGTTATCGGCCAAAAAAACACCGATTGCTGATACTGTTACTTTTCCTTATACCGGTGCTGATCCAACATGGCACCAATGTATTGGTGCACCTCTAGTTTTAATTCAGAGGCTGTATCCCTAACTTCCATGCTCAATAGCTACTGATGGCCCTTTCCTCCAAGAATTTTTGTTCAGTCCTTTTTTGAATCTGGCTAAACTGTCAACTTTCAGAACATCTTTTTTCATTATGTGCAAGAATTTGCTTTTGTTATTTTTAAACTTACTACTAACTAGTTTCATTTTGTGACACCCCCCCCCACCCCGTTCTTGTATTCTGAGAGTAAATAATAAATCTGTATTTATTTTATCCTTAGCATTTTATTTTGTAAATCCTTGTTCCCCCCTCAAGCATCTCTTTTCTAAACTGAGTAAGTCTAGTCTCTTTAGTCTTTCCTCATATGGAAGCCCCTCCAAAGAACTAATCATCTTTGTTGCCCTTTTCTGTTCTTTCTCTCATTTTTTAATATCCTTTTTAAAGTGTGGGGACCAGAACTGGGTATAGTATTCAAGGTGGGGATGCACCACAGAACTATAAAGGGGCAAGATGATGCTTCCACATTGTTTACAGTTCCATTCTTAAAAATTCCTAAGATTTTGTTTACCTTTTTAATGGCTGCTGAGCACTGAGCTAACGTCTTTAGCAAACTGTCCAAAATGATTGCCAGTTCTTTCTGTGTAGTAATAGCTAATGTAGAGCCCATCCTAGGATAGGTATAGTTCGGGTTAGTTTTGCCCTGGCGCATCACTTGACACTTTACCTACACTGAATTGCATCTGCTATTTAGTTGCCCATTCACTCAATAGTACTAGATCCTTCTGTAGTTCCTCATAGTCCACTGTGGTCTTTACCACTGAATAATTTTGTGTCGTCAGCTAATTTGGCCACCTCACTACTTTTTCGAAATCATTTATGAACACTTTAAACTGCACTAGTCCCAACAGATCCCTAGGGGACCCTGCCGTTTACTACTTTCCTTCCTGAAAGCTGATCATTCATACTCACTCTTTGCTTTCTATCTTTAAGCCAATTTTGAATCCACAAGTGGATGTTCCCTGTGATCCTGTGACTACTTAATTTAGTTAAAAGCTTCTGTTGAGGGACCTTGTCAAAGGCTTTTTGGAAGTCCAAATATACTATGTCAGCTGGATCCCCTTGATCCACCTGTTTACTGACACCCTTAAAGAACTCTAGGAAGTTGGTGAAGCATGATTTCCCTTTGACAGAGTGACCTTAATCCCTCCCCAGCAAGTCATGTTCATCCATGTGCTGAACAATTCTCTTTTTTTTTTTTATTATTGTTTTTACTGGTTTTCTAAGGAGAGAAGTTGGACTTTCTGGCTTGTAGTTCCCTGGGTACGCCCTAGATCCTTTTATAAACATTTCATAGACGTTAGGGCTAGAAGGGACCTTTTAAGATCATCAAGTCCAGCCCCTTGCCCAAGGGGCAGGAAGTCAGCTAGGGTTAAAGGGTCCCAGCAAGATTAGCATCCAAGAGTTTCTTGAATAAGTCCAGAGTAGGTGCCTGCACCACATCTGGAGGGAGTCTATTCCAGGTCTTGGGGGCTTGGACTATGTCCAGCCTAAAGTGGTGTTGTAGGAATTTGACTGTTGGGCTTTGTTTTTCCTTGGGGTGCTCTGGTGAACAGAGGTTCTCCCAGATCTTGATGAACACCCCTTGTGTACTTGTAGGTAGCCACCAGGTACCCCCTGAGCCTGTGCTTTTTCAGACTGAAAAGTCCCATAGCTCTCAGCCTCTCTTCATAGAGACATTGGAGTCACACTGGCAACCCTTCAGTCCTCTGGTACTGAGGCTGTTTTCAGTGATAGGTTGAATACTATAATGAGTTAAGCAATTTCTGATCTGAGTTTCTTCAGAACCCTAGGATGAATGCCAAGTGCCCCTTTTACACCCTGATCATCATCTCCCTGGCAGGTCCTCAGCTTCTAATGTACTTAAAGAATTTATTATACCTTTTGTGTCTCTAGCAAGTTTCTCCTGAAATTCTGTCTCAGCTTGTCTTATTAAAGTTTTACATTTGCTTTGCAAGTGTTTATGCTCTTTTTTATTCTCTTCATTAGAATTGGACTGCCACTTTTTGAAAGAAGTCTTTTTTTCTGATCATTGCCTCTGCAACTGCCATTAAACCATGCTGGCTTGCTTTTGGTCCACTTTATTTTTATGATTTTTTTTTTTTTACATTTGTGGGATGCATTTGCTCTGTACCTCCAATATGGTGTTTTTAAGGCATTTCCATGCTGCCTTCAAATTCCTTACCTCTCTAGGGGCCACTTTTAACTTCTGTCTAACTAGCTTTCTCATTTTAGTGGAGTCTGCCCTTTTAAAAATAAAGGTTACTGTGGGAAATTCTTGTCTCCTCTCCTATGTGGATGTCAAACACAATTGCATTGTGGTCACTATTGCCAAGTGGCTCAGTAACACTTATCCTTTGCACCAAATCCTGTGCACTACTTGGGACTAGGTCAGGAATGGTCTTTTCTTTTGTAGGTTTCAGAATTAAATGCTCCAAGAAGCAGCCTTTTAGAACATCAACACATTTGGTCTGCATCCCAGTCTGATGTTAGATTAGCCCAGTCTACTTT